TTGGTTCATACATTCACAAAATAATTCTAAGAAATAAACTGTTCACTTTGTATGAATTAATCTGTAAATTTGTCAAATATATCGCCTATTTGTCTACATCACCTTCATAATATATACATGTGTAAGTTACGTTCGTTTAATAAGTGTATTAAGTATAATGACTAGCAAAATATGCATATCATTGTTTACAATCCTGCTTTGTGTATAAAAACCATCCTTATTATATTTTTCAAAGTCTTAAAAAGGTGAAATCTTATTTATTGCCTTTTACTGGTTTGGTTCCCACATAATTTGTCACAAACATAACACATGTACAATAGCATTGCACAAACTTATATCATTGGGATAAAATATTGCATCTGAAAAACACAAAACACTTCATCTCTTCTAACAATACATATGAAAGGGCAACGTGAATAAGTTCGCCGTCGTATGAAACATGGAATGATTATAAATAGTTATTATTTCAAATTATTAAATAGTTATGCATCTTTCTCTCACACGCTCTCATCTAAGTATAGATTGTCTGATCTTTCTCTCACTCTCATCTTAATATAGAAGGTCTTTCTCTCACTCTTATCATAGAATAGATTATCTGTTCTTCATCTCCTTATCAACTGGTCCTTCAAAGTTGGGTTTTGGAGACGCCTGCATCTTGTTCTTGTTCAGCAATGTTCTCCAGGACTTTGCCTCGAGTCTCCGGGATGAAGAACGCCACGGCAGCCACGATGATGAGACACACGCCACCGTACACCCAGAAAGCCCCCTCCTCCCCCAGGGCCGATACCGTCGCAGGGTAGGAGTGAGAGGCAACGAACATCCCGCAGAAGAAGATGAAGAAGAGGAGGGAATTGGCAGCGTTCCGGACCGCCGTCGGTAGGAGCTCCCCGCGTACGAGGTTCAGGACGGGGTGTCCCACGCACGTCACGAAGGTATACACCATCATCGTCAGGACGGGGAACCAGCCGACGTTTTCCATGCTCACGCCTCCCTTCTGCAGGAAGAAGAAGGTTCCGAGCAGGAAGAGGGAGCCGGAGCACAGCAGGAAGGCCGTGACCAGCGCCGGCCGCCGCCCCAGCCGGTCGACGACTGAGAGAGAGAAGACTGTGGCCACGATTCTCACGATGGCGACCACGATGGCGCTCATGTAGGAGCTGATGTTGACTTTGGCCGCGTTGAAGATCGGGACCACGTACGAGAGGACCACGATGTTCCCCGTGAACTGGACGGAGAACATCAGGAACGCGAGGAGGCCGAAGATCTTCAGCGTCTGCGGCTCCCTCATGCGCCGGATCTGCTGCAGCATCCTGCCGCCGCCGCCGTCTTCGTCCTTCGTCTGACTGACGACGGCCTCCATCTCGGAACTGCAGTCGTACCGAGCGCCTCGGAAAAACGCCAGACTCTCCCTGCACTCGTCCACGCGCCCGCGGGTGGCTAGCCAGCGGGGCGAGTTCGGCAGCAGCAGGAGGCCGACGCCCACCGGGATCGTCGTCACGCAGCCGCAGATGAGCGCCGTCGTCCTCCAGCTGAGGCCGGTGCTGCCCAGGGAATACACCAGCAGCACGCCCAGCTGCCTCACCGTGTCAGCCGTGCCCACCAGCTTTCCCCTGACCCTGCTGTGCGCCAACTCCGTCACGTAGCTGTAGGAGGCAGCCTCGATCACGCCGCCACTCACGCCCAGCAGGAAGCGGGACGTCTGCAGGAGCCACACGGAGGAGGCGAAGGCGAGGGTGAGCCAGGCCGCAAGGAACACGGGCAGGTGGACGAGCATGGACCACCGCTGGCCCATCCACGCCATCGGCAGCGTCCACACCAGGCACCCGACGGCCGACCCGAGGAACACGAGGCTGCCTGCCGAGGGGAAAGGCCTTCATTATCATCATTGCTATTTCTATCGTCATCATCATTACTGCTTCTCATATTTTTAATTACTGCTTTACACTATCATCATTATCACAAGTATTACTATTATTATGACTAAGTTACTATTACAAGTACAGTCAATACTATTATAATTATTATTATTACTATTGCTACTGGCATTAAGAGCACTATTATTATAATCACAATCATTATTATTATTATCATTATTAACATCATCATTGATATCGTTATCACTATTATCATTATTACCATCACTAATATCATTATTATTATTATTATTATTATTATTATTATTATCATCATCATTATTATCAATATCATTATTATTACTATTATTATCCTTATTATCATTATTATTATTATTATTATTACTATTATTATTATTATTATCATTATTATCATTATCATTATTATTACTATTATTGTTATTATCATTATTACTATTTTCACTATCACCATCATTAATCCTCCTCCTCCTCCTCATCATCATTATTACTATTATTCATATCAAATATTACTAACGCGGTAAAAATATTAGCTACTCCCTTCCTTCCTCCCTCTTTCGCCCTCCTCCTCTTACCTCTCTTTCTCCCTCCCTCCCCCCCCCCTTCCTCCCTCTCCCTTCCCCGCTCCCTAATCATTAAATTCCCTCTTCCCTCCAACTTCCCTCCTCTTCCTCCTTCGCCCCCTTATCCTCTTCCCTCCTTCCTCTCTCTTTTCTCTCTGTGTTTCCTTTCCCTTCCCTCTTTCTGTCTCTCCCTCCATTCTTCTCCTCCTTCTCTTCCCCTTCTTCGCTTCTCTCCCCCTTTCTCCTCCTTCCTCCCTTCTCTTCCTCTCCCCCCTTTCTTCTCCTCCTTCCCTTCCCCTTCCACCCCTCTCTCCCTCTTTCCCCTTTTTGCTCTTCCCTTCCTTCTTAACCTCGTATGAATAATAAACGTGCATAAACTAAGAAGAAAGAAAGAAGAAAGATATTAACAGCAATAATAATAACAATGATAATGATAATAACAATGCTAGAATAAGCGCGCGCGCGCGTGTATGTATGTGTGTGTGTGTGTGTGTGTGTGTGTGTGTTTATGTGTGTGTATGTGTGTGTGTATGTGTGTGTGTGTGTGTGTGTGTGTGTGTGTGTGTGTGTGTGTGTGTGTGTGTGTGTGTGTGTGTGTGTGTGTGTATGTGTGTGTGTGTGAGTGAATGAGTGAGTGAGTGAGTGAGTGAGTGTGTGTGTGTGTCTGTGTATGTGTGTGTGTGTGTGTGTGTGTGTGTGTGTGTGTGTGTGTGTGTGTGTGTGTGTGTGTGTGTGTGTGTGTGTGTGTGTGTGTGTGTGTGTGAGTGCATGCGTGCGTGTGTGCGCACACGTGAGTCTGCCTAATTCTTTAATATTTATGTTATCAATAATCATCCCCTTTTATACCAAACTGAAGTGCCTTCAAGTCCTCAGTCCTTTAATGTAAATTTTTCAGGAATAAGGTAGATTAAAGGAAAAAAAAGAAACCTCCTATAATTATTTTTGAAATCAAAACCTGAGTTAACATTATTATTGCCTATGTTGTTATCATCAGCAAACCTAATATTATCTTCGTTATAATTTATATTGCTGTTATAATTATTACTATTAATGTCACTTACGATTATCATAATCAAAAATGTGTCCATCACTCTCAAAGTTCTTTTCCGTTTATTATTATTATTATTATGAGGATTAGCATTAGCATTATAATTATTATTATCATTATCATTATTATTATTATCATTATCATTATCATTATTATTACTATTATTGTTATTAGCATTATTACTATTATAACTATCATTAATCCTCCTCATCATTATCATCATCATTACTATTATTGGTATCAATTATTACTAACGGGGTAAAAAATATTAGCTCCTCCCTTCCTCTCCCTCTTTCGCCCTCCTCCTCCTATCTCTCTTTCTCCCTCCCTCCCCCCCCTCCTCCCTCTCCCTTCCCCGCTCCCTAATCATTAAAATTTCTCTTCCCTCCTCTTCCTTTTTTACCCCCCTTCGCTCCTTTATTTTCTTCCCTCCCTCCTCCCCCTTTTCCTTTTGTGTTTCCTTTCCCTTCCCTCTTTCTGCCTCTCCCTCCATTCTTCTCCTCCTTCCCTTCCCCTTCTTCGGTTCTCTCCCCCTTTCTCCTCCTTCCTCCCTTCTCTTCCTCTCCCCCCTTTCTTCTCTTCCTTCCTTTCCCCTTCAACTATCTCCGTCTCCCCCCTTTCTTCTCTTAATAAATTTCTTAATAAACGTGCATAAACTAAGAAGAAAGATATTAACAGCAATAATAATAACAATGATAATGATAATAACAATACTAGAATAAGCGCGCGCGCGCGCGCGTGTGTGTGTGTGTGTGTGTGTGTGTGTGTGTGTGAATGAGAGAGTGAGTGTGTGTGTGTGTGTGTGTGTGTGTGTGTGTGTGAGTGAGTGAGTGAGTGAGTGAGTAAGTGCGTGCGTGTGTGCACAGACGTGAGTCTGCGTAATTCTTTAATACTTATGTTATCAATAATCATCCCCTTTTATACCAAACTGAAGCACCTTCAAGTCCTCAGTCCTTTGGAATATTTCAGGAATGAGATTTAAAATTTATTTATGATTATTTTAAAATTTACTATAATTATTTCTGAAGTCGAAACCTGACTCTCCATTATTATTACCAATGATTTTATTATCAGAAATTCTATTAGTATTATCTTCGTTATAATTTATATTGCTATTAAAAATTTTACTATTGATATGACTTGTGATTATCATAATTAAAAATGTGTCCATCACAAGTTCTTTTCGGGTTATTATTGTTGCAATTTACGTCATTATTTCAAAATTGTATAAAAGTTCGGAGATAAACATAACTGATTCAATTGCAAATGTTGCATCATGAGGTCGGCCAATTAATCGGCATTTGATAACTTGATAACGTGATTGGGAGATATCACAGTACTTTCCCATTTCTCTCTCTCGCTCACTCGCTCTCTCTCTTTCTTTCTCGTCCCCCTTTCTCTCTTCCCCCCCTCCCCCCCCTCTCTCTCTCTCTCTCTCTCTCTCTCTCTCTCTCTCTCTCTCTCTCTCTCTCTCTCTCTCTCTCTCTCTCTCTCTCTCGCCTCCCCCCCCCCCCCCCCTTTCTCTCTACCTCTTTCTCTCTCCCTCCCCAGGATCTGCCGAACCAAAATTGAAAAGGGGGAAAGGATTAAGCCTCGCTGCTAAAACGGCAGAGGCCCCCACAATGCCGGGTCTCTGGCATGCAGGGCGAGGCCACAATCAGAGCTCACTTCGGCGGTTTCCCAGCAAGGACTCGCCGGAGAAGAAGAAGGCTCGGACACCTCGCAGGCAGAGGTACAAAGGGTGGCGTCAATGTCAAAGGGAATCGGTCAACTCAGGACGACCGACAGATGCAGAAAGTGAAGGAAATGAAGGAAGTGCCGCGTGGTGATGCGGTTTTTTTCTGTGAAGGAAGTATCAGCCATCACCCGGATGCTGCAGACACTGGTACAGAGAATGGATGAAATGGGGAAAAAAGTTGGCACAATTTTATGAACAGAGAAACCGCGGAATAGAAACAGGGAGAGCAGGCTGTCACAGAACTCCCCTCCCCCCTCCCCAAGACGCAGAAACGAAATATAATATTAGCGGTCCTGCAGAAGTACAATTGGTAGACTGTAAGATAAAAAATCAGGGAAAGGAAAGGAAAATAACGGCGAGTGTAGTGGGAGGAACATCCCTTCAGGTTACTCCTACTGAAGTGCAAAGATCAGGAGAAAGAAAGCCTCTTGAAAAAAATGGAAAGCTATGCAAGACAAATAGGCAAACCGTTCGAGAAATGTTGGAGAAATAAAAGGACACGACACAGGACAGATAAAGCCTCTCTTGAGACAACGAAATCAGTGATAAAGAGTAACCCAGAAACGTGTCACCCAGGTGTACACAGAAAGCGGTCAGACTTAACCATTTGTTTATACATACTTTCGCACTTCTTGACATGAGTAATTGCGTTGGCCTGGATTAAGACCTGACTCAGGAAAGCGTATAAATTGCTGTTGATAGTGAAGTGTGTCTTAACCATAGATATCTGTTCACTGGACTAGACAGATCCAGTGGTGTGTGTATGTGTCTCATTTGTTGATAGCCCTATGTTTTGTATGTGAAATGTGAGCCCACATAGGGACTTATTAAGATAAGGGTGAGGATAATCTATGTTTCCTCATCTTTTTGAGATTTAAGTTTTTGTCTCAATAAACTTGTCAAATCAAATAAAAAATATCGCTCTTTCTTTCTCTTGCTGTCGTTCTCGGTCTCGCTTTCTCTCTCTCTCTCTCTCTCTCTCTCTCTCTCTCTCTCTCTCTCTCTCTCTCTCTCTCTCTCTCTCTCTCTCTCTCTCTCTCTCTTCTCTCTCTCTCTCTCTCTCTCTCTCTCTCTCTCTCTCTCTCTCTCTCTCTCTCTCTCTCTCTCTCACTCTCTCGCTCTATCCCTCTTTCCCTTTCTCTCTCTCTCATCCCTTTCTCTCTCCCTCTCCCTCTCCTTTTCCCCTTTCTCTCTCCTCTCCCTTTCCCCTTTCTCTCTCCCTCTCCCTTTCCCCTTTCTCTCTCCCTCTCCCTTTCCCCTTTCTCTCTCCCTCTCCCTCTCCCTTTCCCCTTTCTCTCTCCCTCCCTCTTCCTCTCCCTCTCCCTCTCCCCCTTCATAACTTACTGAAAAGAGCCACCTGGTGCTCGTCCAGGTAAATATCCCCAGACTCGACGTCGGTGAGCTGGGGCAACATCACGCCCGAAAATCCCCCGATGATTCCGACGCCCAGCTGAGCCAATGCCCCCGCCGCCGTTCCCGCCACCTGTTGAGAGGTTCTGGTACTAAATTTTTATTTGGGTGTTTTGCGGATCGTTTGCGATGGAGGGGTTAGGGAGAGGGGTGGGTGTCGGAGGTGGGGGTAGGGGAGGCGGAAGGGGGGAGGGGGAGGGAGAATGAGAGAGAAGGAGCAGGAGAGGGAGGGAGAGAGCGAGAGAGAGAGAGAGAGAGAGAGAGAGAGAGATGACAAGCAGACAGACAAATAAATAGATTATCAGACAGACAGACAGACAGAGATAGAGAGAGGGTAATTGGGTGATGATAGACAGGTAGAGACAAAGAGAGGAAACATGGAGAGATAGATGCGTAGACCTATTTGCAGTCAAAAGAACCAAAAATTCAGGATTAATTTCTGGTTTATTGTGTACGACTAAATCTTTGCGTAGTGGTTAACAAGGCTAAAGTATTTCTTTACCTGTATTGTATATTTTCGTGTTGATTAAACTATTGGATTAAAAAAGGTTAGAAAAGGAATTAATTTCAGATGTATTCTGTTCCATTTTCTGAACTCTTGATGGTTGAACAAAGAAAATGCTTTATAAATTTTTAGCTCTTGCACAAAACACATGCAAGTTACAGCTTTTTTGCAGTTTTACAATTTACAACAAATTACACATATTATACAATTTAAAGAAAAAAAACTGACATTCCACTCTCTTTCTGCTTAATTTAGTCACAAGGCTGCAATAACTTGCGAAGTAATTTCTGCTTGTAATGATACAAGTCAAGGTCAGTCTTTTGGTGTGTTGTAAACATCAGTACGAT